ATGGTAGCCGGTGACCAACGATTGGTTCATACGCCATTTGTTCCCGCAGGATACTGGAGCCCATGTGCACCATTGGTTTGTGATCCGGTTAAAGCGCCGGACGTTCGCTTTTCGTCCTCTCATTTTCGTAAACAACACCCCGACCACGAGAAGGCAATGAGTAGGACTTCCCTGGCAGAGGCTGTATACGCGCGGCCGTGTGAGAGTATTTCGAGAGGGAGAGCGGACTCTCCCCACTCTCGGCCGTACCAGGGCGTTCGGGGGCAATTTGCTTACTACAATAATTAGACGAATTACAGTCATTAAGTGGAATGCACAAACATACCGACCAGTATTGAGTGTTTTATCGAAAAGAATAAAAATTATGAGTTATACTAATATAACAGGATAATAATGTCTTTCAATTTGCACTATCAATTCACTATCATAAACTAATTTCTGCACGATACTGTTCCCCTTTTTCTTATACGCTCTTAACATTTTCTATCTCTTTTCATTCTCATTGTTATTGTGTGGCGCATATATATTTAGTGCACCTTTGTATCAATATTTGTGTTCATATAAATTAAATAAATAAATAAATTACTCAAAGCATAGCATAATTAATTTCAATATGTATTGCGCGCATATATATAACTATTTTGGCAAATTTCATGCAACTGGTTCCCTTTATGAATTTAAATAGAGCAAGAACAAATAATGGTGCAGAATAGTATGAATTCATATTATTTCGAGATTTCTCGTCAGCTGCTTACAAACCAAAATTGTGATAGAATTTTTGCATTGAGATATAGTGAAAACAATTGACATAGATGAGTGTAAATAACTGGGTTACAATAATAATTATAAATATATATATATGCTAGAACAGGTCAGAGGTCAAAAGGAATTAATTCGGGTTGGGTGGTGTAATAATGGAATGGAGAAATTATAAGGTAGGTTACGTAATAATAATAAAATAGAATTTGAAAAGTTAAGATAATTTAGAGGACCAGGTGGCGGAAATGTGTGAATGATAATGTGGTTTAAGAATTATGTAATAGGGGAGGAGTATAAATATTTTAAAATAAAAAAATAAAATAAAAAGGGGTTACCATGGTAATGATAAGTTAATTAAAGTCTCTTTTTGGATGAATAAGTCAGGTTTAAGTGTTTTGATCATGATAGCTTCAGCAAAACGGAGGGTGGTCGTACTTCTTTGTCTATTGATAATTTTGAAAGCATGTGGAATCGCGGTGGTGTGCCCGGTGTCAAGTAGATGTCGAGCTATTGAGCTGTTGAAGACCTTATTCCCTCGCAGCCTCAAGTTTTTTGGAACATGCTCAGAAATGCGGACATATTGGCAAAGATATGTCGATGTTTTAAAAAAATCTAAGGGTAAGATTGTCGTCTGACATTTTAAGCTGAAGAGTAATAGGACGATATTAATTGTTGTCTCACTTATGTGTCTGAGAAAATCAATGAAAACAAAGAAATTATCAGGTGTTCAGTTGAACACCTCTTGATACGGTCATTTATTATTATTACAATTAATGTCATTGGTAGTAAGCATCAAAATGGGATAAGTCAGTCAGTGACAACGTAGGACCAAATACATACATCAATCGGTCCAAGTTGCCACACCTCATTAGCAGAAGATGAACACCGGAATCATAGAAGCAGTTAACTCAATGGTGTAATATATAAAGGAAAAATTTTATGTAAGGATATAGTACAGAAAAAAAGAATTAGTTGGTAGAAAGAGAAACGTGAAATTTTTTTAAGAGAAGACAAAGAGTGTATACACTTATTTATTATTATTTATTTCAACACATAGATAATGGTACAAAGAGGCACCAAATACATATGCGCCACACAAATCTCATCCGATATGTGTGAGGGCTGTGATACTGCCCGGGTGCCCAAACCGAAGCAGGTGGTTATCTTAGGGGGCCACACCCCGAGCCTTCAACCCAAAGGTCTGATCCACAAGGCAGTGGAGCATCGTAAGGAGATGCAGTCCCATGGAAGCCGGTGACCAACAATTGGTTCATTCGCCATTTGTTCCCGCAGGATACTGGAGCCCATGTGCACCATTGTTTTGGAATCCGGTTAAAGCGCCGGACATTCGCTTTTCGTCCTCTCATTTTCGTAAACAACACCCCCGCCACGAGAAGGCAGTGAGTAGGACTTCCCTGGCAGAGGCTATATACGCGTGGCCGTGTGAGAGTATTTCTAGAGAGAGAGCGGACTCTCCCCACTCTCGGCCGTACCAGGGCATTCTGATCGATTCTGAACCATGTCAGCCAGTCTTCAATTATTGGTTACGATATTCGCGCTAACCCCAACCAAGTAGTCAGCGTCTACCAACATGTGGCCCAACCATCTCAGTCGATGAAGATTCATAACCTCATCAACTGATTTACCATCATTACACAATACCCTGCGTCTAACCTCACTATCACTTACTCGATAGTCGCAGTAGATGCGAGCAATATTTCTAAGGCATCTGTGGTCAAATACTAGTAGCTTACGAGTATCTTCTACTCTTAATGGCCACGTTTTGCAGCAGTAAATTAAAACAGAACGAACTACCGCGCAGTATACTTGTCCCTTAATTGATAGACGAGTATCTCGCCTTCGCCATAGCCAAACGAACTTTTCGAATCCATTCTGGGATTTCGTCAGGCACCAACCCATTATGACTGATCAGACCTCCGAGATAAGTGTTGTCGACGCATTCGACTACTTCACTTTTTATCCTTAGTTAAGGTGTTGACGCAGACCAGTCCTGAAGCAGCAGCTTGCATTTAGTGAGGGCGAAACGCATCCTAAAAATCCTGGCATTGTTGCTCAGTGCTACCAAAGTACTCAGCATTTTGTGCGAGTTTTCACCAAACAGGACTATGTTATCGACGTATTGTAAGTCATTAAGTGGACCACCTGGTAGGAGACCAATGCCCGAAAATTCAGTCGATGAGAGTGTTATTTCCAACATAATGTCTATGGTGAAATTGAACAAAAATGGAGATGGTGGACAGCCTTGACGGACACCACTTGAGGTTGCGAAATCAGATGACAGTTCACCATAAGCTCTGACTCAACTAGTAGTGTTCGAGTAAAGAGTCTTCACAAGGTTTATGTACTTCTTAGGTACGCCTTTCAATGACAGACGCTGCCACAGGATCTCGCGGTCTACGGAGTCAAATCCTGCTTTTAAGTCAAGGAAGACCACCATCGTCGGACGCCGATAAGGATGCCTGTGTTCTAGAATCTGACGAATGGTGCATATGTGGTCGATGCAATCACCTCCAGGTCTGAAGTCAGCCTGATTTAGTGTTTGCAGTTCACGAGTTTTAGTTAGGCGCCCGATACTTATTGAGGCTAGTATCTTTGATGCTATATTAGTCAAACTAATCCCTCTATGGTTATTACAGGGTGATTTTGACCCCTTCTTATATATTGCAATAACCAGTGATTGCGACCAGTCAGATGGGATTACGTCCAATTCCCAGATTTTAGAAAACATATTAGTCAAACTAATCGCTAAAATTAGACCACCATCCTTAAAGACATCTGGAGCCAATCCATCTGGACCATCTGCTGTACTTCGTTTCAGATTAACTATAACCTTTTGAACTTTAGCTAGAGTCGGGGGACCTATTTCGGTGTTCAATTCAGGCTGTTTGGGAATTGTGGGTAGTTGTAGATTAGCTGAAGGCCAGCTGAACTGCTCCTTAAAGTGTTCCGCCCATCGTTCTAAACGTTTGGGTTGAGAGCAGATAAGTGTCGTGTTTCTCTGAAATAGTCTCACTTACACTTGAATTTTTAGTTCCAGTTTCTTCTTTGAGTCTGAAGAGTTGTCTTGTGTTCCCTATAGCCGCCGCCTTGTCCATCTCTCTTGCCTTCGATGCTTACCACTGCTCACGGTCGTTCTTTAGACTTTTGCTTAACCTAGATCTGACTCGCTTTCACTCATCATCGTATTCAGAGCCTGACGGGATGAGTTTCCGAGAATCCATCAATGCAACAGACCTTGAAGAAATCCATTGGTTCTTTGTAACGCTGTTTCCACACCTGTTCGTATATCTTTCCAAGCAACATCTGGGTCGGTCTCGTTTTCAGTGTGACCTCAGTTGTTCCTGGAATCTACTTTCGGCTTTCTCGTCACTCAGTACAATTCTAATGGATCTTCTTGGTATGTCTTTTCTGTGTCCAGTGAGGTGCAAGCAAATACGTGCCCGTATCAGAGCATGGTCAGAGTCTAAGCATATATTCCAGAACAAGCGACAGTCTTCTATCGACTCTCTCCAACGATGACTGATGGCAATATGGTCTATTTTAGTCCATCGTTGGTTTGATTTAGGGGGTCTTTACGTTAGACAATGACTCTCCTTATGCTTAGAATTAGTTCCCTAAAAACAAACCATTGTTTGAGCACAATTGCAGCAGACGATCACCATTATTTGTTCGCTGAGTCGGAGTACTAAAATACCCACCTAAATGTCTTTCTGTTTGGTTTAAGCTACCTACGTGGGCACTAGTCACCTGCTACGAGCACTGTGCCTAAGCGTCTAGCTTTTCGAATCAGTTCAGAAAGCTTTCTGTAAAAGTCATGTTCCACTTCATTCAGGCAGCAGTCAGTATTGAAGTAGGCAGAATCAACGAGAAGGAATGACTATCTTTTCTTTTGTGTAGTTCTACTGTATGAGAATTTGTTTTAAATAAATGAGTAAAATAAAGGCAACAGTGACTAAGTCATTAGAATTGCATTTCTTGCTTTACGATTAACGGCCGTAGTTGATTAGAAACAATAAACAATTTTGCTGAAACCCCTAGAGCATATGTATTATATATTTGGACAACTTGGGATGCTGTCTCGCTTTGAAAGTAGCTGGAACAATGAGATATTTTAGAGGCGATTTAAAATAATGATAATATGCACGCGATATACGATAAAGTGGTATAGCATGTATATAATTTAGTAAAAAGAAAAATAATTAATAATCTATTTGACTTACATTCCATCTGCAGTACGAATAACACCTACAAATTCATCCAACTTTCTATTAGGTGGTTCACATTCAACAACTGCTTCAAAAGCGTTTAATTCTCCAGCAGTTAGAAGATGAGTTGTAACTGGCAGACCCTTCAACAAAAATAACAAAACGCATACATGAAAGAAATGACGCATGAAATGACGTAACCACATCTCCAAACCCGAATAGTTCAATGGTTACGTTTTGAACTATGAGGCTGGATGGCACAGACTAGATATCTCATAGGCGTGTAACTTTCGGTCACGAAATCTCGGGTTCGAACCTCGCCTGATCTGCTTCAGTTTGAGGAACTGGGAATTACAATTAGCCCTCAAATTTAGAGTGGGATTTACACCCAAGTACAGGGTGAATACAGCAGGGTTTTTTTTATAAAAATCTATATTAGGAGTTGGGTTTAATATTAGAATATCGAGAAAAATTCAAAGGAGACTACATTATCTGAAGTTGTACAATCGCACTTATAGGTAATTTTTAAATGTAGTAGACAATGGTAAAATAAATGAAATTTACAAAATTATCACAGATAGTGAAACTTGGGTTACTATAAGATGTACATTTTATCCCAATTCAGTGATCTGAAGATCAACCACTAGCCATAAGCAAAATAAAACCTTGTACATATATCCATCGGTTTAAATTGGCACACCGTATCAACTCCGCTTGTAGCTCTTCTAGAGTTACTGCCGGTCGCAAGCCCGGGTAAAGGAGGAGGGTTGGGCATGGGGTTTGCGACCCCATCCCGTAGAAAACTAACTCGCTAAGAAACACTAACCAGAAAAAATAATTCAAACCATTTAAATTCTGCTCTGGAAGTTACGTCTTCATTTAGAAAAACTATGATGCCTCATAGGGAAAGCCGAGTTTCTTCGGAAGTCACGAGGCCGATGCCCCTTCTAACAACCAGAGCAGCAATTTTTATAGGTACATGGAACGTCCGAACAATGTGGGAGACCTGAAAGACCAGTCAAGTAGCAACGGAAAGGAGGAGATACTATTTGGCAGTTCTGAGAATCAGCAAAACCCATTGGAGCCAAGCTGGACAACAAAGGCTAAATACGGGAGAGATGCTGCTATACTTCGGTCACGAAAAGGAAAGTGCTCCACGCACTCAGAGAGTTGCTCTAATGCTGTCCAAAGAAGCATGAAATGCACTTGTAGGATGGGAATTTCACGGATCCAGAATCATCAAAGTATCATTTAAAACAAAGAAGGAGGGGATCTTAATGAATATTATCCAATGTTATGCACCCACAAATGATAGCAACGACGACATTAAAGATCAGTTCTACGAGCGGCTGCAGTCAGTCATTGAGAAATGCTCAAGAAAGGACCTAACTATTCTGATGGGAGATCTAAATGCCAAAGTCGGAATAGACAACACCGGATATGAAAATATCATGGGACGACATGGACTAAGAGAGAGAAGCGAAAATGAGGAAAGATTTGCAAATCTATGTGCATTCAATGAATTGGTCATAGGAGGCACAATATTTCCACACAAACGTATACACAAAGCTACATGGATCTCACCGGACCACACTACAGCGAACCAGATAGATCATAACTGCATCAATAAAAAACTCCGAAGGACAATGGAAGATGTGAGAACCAGGAGAGGAGCTGACATAGCTTCAAATCACCACCTAGTTGTAGCCAATTTAAAACTGAAGCTAAAGAAGAACTGGACAACTGGACAAACAGCACTACAAAGGTTCAATACAGCCTTCCTTCGAGATACTGACAAACTCAATAAATTCAAGATAGCTCTCAACAACAGGTTTCAAGTCTTACAGGATCTACTGAAGGAAGAAGAAACTACTATCAAAGAAGCATTAACTTCAACGTGTCGATAGGTTCTGCGCCTCAAGAAGCATCATCAGAGGGAATGGATCTCTATAGAAACACTGGACAGGATAAAAAAAATGAAGAACAAGAAGACAGCAATTAACAACAGGTGAACACGGGCAGAGAAAGTCCAAGCACAAGCTGAGTACATAGAAGCAAACAAGCAAGTGAAGAAGAGCATCAAAGCGAAAAGCAGAAATACGTGGAAGAACTAGCAACGACGGCGGAAAAAGCTGCAAGAGAAGGAAAAATGGAACAGTGTTACGATACAACGAGGAAAACTAGCAGGGAAATATAGTAAACCAGAGAGACCGGTAAAGGACAAAGAAGGCAAGCCAATCACCGAAATTCAACAACAGCGGAACAGACGGCTAGAGTACTTCGAAGAAATCCTGAATAGGCCGGCTCTAATGAATCCACCGGACATCGAAGCGGCGCACACAGATCTTCCTATGGATGCCAATCCACCAACGACGGAAGAAATCAGAATGGCCATCAGAAAAATCAAGTGCGGCAAGGCAGCTGGACCAGACAACATACCAATGGTGCACTTGCACTCTAGTATCCTGTGGGAAAAAATGGCGTATGAACCAATCGTTGGTCACCGGCTACCATGGGACTGCATCTCCTCACTATGCTCCACTGCCTCGTAGGTTAGACCTTTAGGTCAAAGGCTCGGGGTGTGGCCCCCTAAGATAACCACCTGCTTCAGTCTGAGCACCCGGGCAGTATCACAGCCCACACACAAAAAACGATGGATTGTCGATAATTATGGAAACTACTTTACTTGCTTCAACTAACAATCAAATGATCATTATTATTATTTTCCACATTATTGACCCTCTTTTATACTTATACAGCGGCTCGTCTTTGGTGGAAATTCGACTGTATCTAAACGTTCTCGAGTCACTGTTCGGTTGAAAATTGTATGTTACCACCGAATACGAGAACTGAAGCAGTTTTTCTGAAACCACGTGCTCCATTCAAACTGGCTGCCTTCAACGTTCGCACACTTATGCAGGTCGGACAACAGATAGGGCTGGCTATGTCTTTGGAAAGTCTCAATGTTGATGTTTGTTGTCTATCCGAGACCCGTATTCAAGACTCTGGTGAAGTACTACAAATTCGATCTCCATCTGTCGCTTTGAAAAGCTTGTTTTACGTGCGCTTATCCGGGGACCCTGTGGCATCTTCGTCTGGTCTTGCTGGCGTTGGTGTCACACTAAGCGATAGAGCTGAGGCAGCACTAGTCGATTGGATCCCCATCAACAGTCGGTTATGTGCTGTTAGATTAGAAAGTTCCATCAAAGTGAGAAGAAATCGGCGGGAGAAACGATGTCTCTTCGTCATCTCCACCTATGCCTCGACAAATTGCAGCCCGGATGCAATCAACGATGAATTCCACCACCAATTATCTGTTCTTCTCCAGAAAGTGCGTTCGACAGATATTGTAGTACTAGCCGGAAACTTGAATGCTCAGGTCGGGCGTCTAGGAACAAAAAAGAGTCGTTTGGGTGGCCGATGGGGATTTGTTGGTCGCAGGACAGATAACGGGGACCGTCTGCTGCACTGAGTTTCTTCAGGCTCCTTACAACTCATTGAAGCCCGTCGGTCGACTCCGGGTGACCGTGAGTTTGACAACAAACGAAGGATGTTACGTAAGAAAATTGGGCAAAGCTTGCGTAAGGACCGAGAAGTCTGGTGGTCGGAGCGTGCTAATGAGCTGGAAGCAGCAGCTGCATCTGGTAACTACCGGAAGCTCTTCCAACTCATCCGAGCCACTGGCAGTAAGAAGTTTGGTGTGAGCGAAACAATCTGTGAAAATGACGGGATGCCAATCACTAACATCCATCGATGTCTTGGACGATGGGCAGAATTTTTCGAAGGGCAGTTCAACTGGCCTGCTGCTCCAGCAACATCAGTCAGACTGTCCTGCCCTCCATGGCCGGTGACGACTGATCCACCAAACGAGGAGGAAGTCCGCAAGGAACTCCAACTCTTGAAGCGTTACAAATCACCTGGCTCAGATGACTTACCTCCGGCTCTTTTTAAAGATGGTGGTGACTTTTTGACTAAGGAATTGACAACGTTGTTTACAAAGGTTTGGGAATTAGAGAGTGTACCAACGTCATGGAATGAGTCGATAGTTGTCCCTATCTTTAAAAAGGGTTCACGTCATTCCTGCAACAACTATCGGGGGATAAGTCTACTTCCGATTGCGTCCAAGCTATTGGCCTCCGTCATACTTCGTTGGCTGTTCAAAACCCGAGAAAGATTGACTCGCGAGGAGCAGGCTGGTTTTCGTTCTGATCGAGGATGTATTGGTCATATGTTCACCCTCCGCCAAATGTTAGAACACCGCCATACTTACCAAAGGTCAACAATCAGAGTGTTTCTTGACATCAGGGCTGCCTTCGATTCGTTGGACAGGACTGTTATCTGGGATTGCCTATTGAAGAAGGGTGTGCCTGAGAAGTATATTAACATCCTAAAAGCCCTATATAAAAACACCTCAGGCAGAGTGAGGGCAGGGCATACAACCACCTCTCTCCATTGTTCCATCCGAGCAGTGGGGTTAGGCAGGGTTGCCCAATCTCACCATTCCTCTTCAACTTTGCCATCGATAAAATTCTGGAAACAGCTCTGATGGATGTAAGTAATGGTGGTGTGGATCTGTTGCCTGGAGAAAGACTGTCTACTCTCTCCCTTTCTTCTAGTGGTCGACTGGATTATGAAAACCTCCACATCTGAGGGAAAACATGGCATACAATGGACAGCTCAGTACCAACTAGACGATTTGGACTTCGCAGATGACCTAGCCCTCCCATCGCACACACACGAACAAATGCAGATAAAGACAGCCAGTGTAGCAGCAGTCTCTGCATCAGTAGGTCTCAACATACACAAGGGGAAAGCCAAGGACCTCAAATACGACACGGAGAACAGCAATCCAATCACTTTTTATAGCAAAACTCCGGAAGATGTAGAACCCTTCACATACCTGGAAAGCATCATCGATGAACAAGGAGGTTCAGATGCAGACATAGAGGCGAGGATTGACAAAGCAAGGGTCGCATTCTTACAATTGAAGAACATATGGAACTCAAAACAACTTTCAACCAACATCAAAGTGAGAATCTTCAACACAAACGTCAAGGCAGCTCTACTGTACGGAGCTGAAACTTGGAGAACTACACAACAACCATCAAGAAGATACAAGTATTTACAAATGATTGTCTACGCACGATACTCAATATCCATTGGCCGGATAACACCAGCAACAGCCTTTTGTGGGAGAGAACAAACCAGCTTCCAGCTGAAGAAATTAGGAAACGACGATGGAAATGGATAGGACATACAGTACGCAAATCATCAAACTGCATCACGAGGCAAGGCCTAACTTGGAATCTTGAAGGGAAGCGGAAAAGAGGAAGGCCAAAGAACACATTACGTCGGGAAATAGAAGCAGATATGAAAAGGATGAATAACAACTGGAAAGGATTGCCCAGGACGGGGTTGGATGGAGAATGAAGGTGAGCGGCCTATGCTCCTTCACGAGGAGTAACAGACGTAAATGATGATGAATGACCGTATCAACACAGCAAGATGAAATTATCAAGACAAATGCCAGAGAGATAGAAAGTCACAGTTTCAGTGGTAGTAAGAAAGTTATGTATAGATAATATGACTCAAGAAGAGATGTAAAGTATGGGACCATTTTCAGAATCAAGACCTAGGAGCAGATCAGTACAATTGTGACCGAATCTGAACCATATCACCTAATGACTCCAACCATATAACTTTAACCAGGTAGCCTGCATCATGGATTAATGTCATGTCGTATTTAGTTTTCTTCCAACTTACTCCTACACCAGCCAGAAACGAGAATCGACGCAGGATGTGGTTGGGCATACGTGAGATGTTTAAGAAATTACAGATGAAATTATTTTATTCATCAACTTTTGCTGATAAAATAGGTGTCATTATACTATTTGAGGATACGGAGATTACTAACAACAACATAGTTTGAAAATTAGTTTGTGTCTGAAAGACAGAATTATTTAATTTGCAAGTGAAATAGTTAAGCAATGATTTAATGTAAACCTACTTGGCGTAATTTTAAGTTTGTTTCTCCATCTAGATTACTAGTTTCAATATAGCACATAGCCTGAGGTTCACTAGACGCCAGAAGGACAAGATCAGCTGGGATCCCTTCATTACTGAGAACTTTGACTAAATCCCCTACCTCCAAATCTTTCCAACATATTTTAACCCAAACATGATCACGTAATACTGTGAAAAGTTAAATAAAACGAATAAAAACCTGTCAGAATATTCAATCAAAAAATATGTGGTAAATCAAAACAAATGTGGAAGTTAACCTAGTCGCTGATCGAAAACGGACATCATCAGTTTACAAACGTAATTTATTGAAAAGTAGTCTTAGATACCATTCACAGGACAAAACCATTATACAGGGAAGACAGGAAATGTGATCAAACGAAAGTTTATAAATTGAAACCTAAATTTTGTCATGAAACTTCTAACCGTTGTAGAACAAAAGTATGACAAAATCATTGATGCCAGTGTAAATTTTAAATGGTTTTTGGAATCTGTTACAGCTATCTGAATGATTGACATATATCAACAAATTTTGAGATCGTTTAGATTTTTAGCCCAGAAAGGTTATTTTAGTAAATTTTCCTTCACTAAGTATAGTGCATTAACTCCGCCTGGAGTCCCTCCGAGGGCTACTGTCGGTCCCAAGCCCGGATAAAGGAGGAGGGTTGGGTATGGAGTTAGCGTCCACATCCCGTGGAAAACTAACTCGCTAAAAAAACGCTAACCAGAAAAAATTATTCAAACCTTTTAACCATAATGGGTTGGTGCCTGACGAAATCCCAGAATGGATTCGAAAAGCTCGTTTGGCTTTTACCAACTTACGTCACCTATGGCGAAGGCGAGATACTCGTCTATCAATTAAGGGACGAGTATACTGCGCGGTAGTTCGTTCTGTTTTAATTTACTGCTGCAAAACGTGGCCATTAAAAGTAGAAGACACTCGTAAGCTACTAGTATTTGACCACAGATGCCTTAGAAATATTGCTCGCATCTACTGGGACTATCGAGTAAGTAATAATGAGGTTAGATTAGTTTGACTAATATGTTTGCTAAAATCTGGGAATTGGACGTAATCCCATCTGACTGGTCGCAATCACTGGTTATTGCAATATATAAGAAGGGGTCAAAATCACCCTGTAATAACCATAGAGGGATTAGTTTGACTAATATAGCATCAAAGATACTAGCCTCAATAAGTATCGGGCGCCTAACTAAAACTCGTGAACTGCAAACACTAAATCAGGCTGGCTTCAGACCTGGAGGTGATTGCATCGACCACATATGCACCATTCGTCAGATTCTAGAACACAGGCATCCTTATCGGCGTCCGACGATGGTGGTCTTCCTTGACTTAAAAGCAGGATTTGACTCCGTAGACCGCGAGATCCTGTGGCAGCGTCTGTCATTGAAAGGCGTACCTAAGAAGTACATAAACCTTGTGAAGACTCTTTACTCGAACACTACTAGTTGAGTCAGAGCTTATGGTGAACTGTCATCTGATTTCGCAACCTCAAGTGGTGTCCGTCAAGGCTGTCCACCATCTCCATTTTTGTTCAATTTCACCATAGACATTATGTTGGAAATAACACTCTCATCGACTGAATTTTCGGGCATTGGTCTCCTACCAGGTGGTCCACTTAATGACTTACAATACGTCGATAACATAGTCCTGTTTGGTGAAAACTCGCACAAAATGCTGAGTACTTTGGTAGCACTGAGCAACAATGCCAGGATTTTTAGGATGCGTTTCGCCCTCACTAAATGCAAGCTGCTGCTTCAGGACTGGTCTGCGTCAACACCTTAACTAAGGATAAAAAGTGAAGTAGTCGAATGCGTCGACAACACTTATCTCGGAGGTCTGATCAGTCATAATGGGTTGGTGCCTGACGAAATCCCAGAATGGATTCGAAAAGTTCGTTTGGCTATGGCGAAGGCGAGATACTCGTCTATCAATTAAGGGACAAGTATACTGCGCGGTAGTTCGTTCTGTTTTAATTTACTGCTGCAAAACGTGGCCATTAAGAGTAGAAGATACTCGTAAGCTACTAGTATTTGACCACAGATGCCTTAGAAATATTGCTCGCATCTACTGCGACTATCGAGTAAGTGATAGTGAGGTTAGACGCAGGGTATTGTGTAATGATGGTAAATCAGTTGATGAGGTTATGAATCTTCATAGACTGAGATGGTTGGGTCACGTGTTACGTATGCCTGAACACCGATTACCACGACTTGTAATGCTATCCGGTATTGGAAATGGCTGGAAGAAATTTAGGGGCGGCCAAACCAAAACGTGGCATCGGTGCTTGAAGTCACTAACTTCTAGTCTGAGCCATGTTGGTAGATGCAGACTATTTGTTTGGGGTCCGTGTGACAATCGTAACCAATGGTTAGAGACTCTTGGTGACATGGCTCAGAATCGATCACAATGGCGTAAGTATATACACTGTCTTCGCTTAACCTAGGAGATTAAAATCGCTTCATATCTTTCTTTCTACGAACTAATTCTTTCTTCCTGTAATATATCCTTATTGCAATCTTTTATATATTACCACATCTGAATTAACTACTCTTATGAATTCGGTGTACATCTTGTTGTGTTAATGAGGTGTGGCAACTTCGACCGATGCATATATTTGCCTGGTCCTTATTTAATTATTTGACAACACAAACTGGTACAAAAGGACACCAAATATATATGCGCCACACAAAACAATGAGAATGAGACGAGAAAAAGAATTTAAGTTGCTTATCAGAAAAAAAGAACAATAAAGACTACAGATTAGTGAATGGTAGTCAAATTACAATAATAATAATATTAATAAGAGAAACGGAAAGGTACAATCAGAAGGAATTCTTTCACTTAAGGAAGGTACAACCACGTTTTATGAAGAAAGTAAAAGAAGATTACAGCAGGATCGCCACTGGCTTCTATTCTGAGTCATATCTGATAACGTCTCTAGCCACTGTGTAGCACCATCTCTCAGACCCCAACCAGGGAGTATTTCTTTCATGCCACGACATCATGTCATACACTGACCACCTCTCCGCTTCTTCCAACCAGTCCCAGAGTCGGCAAATAATGCACGACGTGGAGTTCTCTGAGACGACATTCGGAGAACATGTCCAAGCCACCGAAGTCGGTGTTTCAAGATGGTGACACCAATTGAATTATCGTCTCTGTGCCCGAACACACGATGCCGAACCTCTGCATTACTAACATGGTGTTGCCACTAGATGTCAGCAATCCTTCGGAGACAACGATGATCAAACACAGAGAGTCGTCTAACATCCCCAACTCGGAGAGGCCAGGTTTCACAAGCATAGAGCAAAACTGCTCTCACCGACGCGTTGTAGATCCGACTTTTTACAACCAGACTGACATCACGAAGGCGCCAAAGGTGGTCCAGATTGGCATAAGCCGCTCTGGCTTTCACTATACGTGCATTGATCTCATCACTCACACCCCCATCAGAAATGATCCTACGTTGTAGCTGACTGATTGACTCAGCTAAGGGATTTAGAACCCTATGCACCTTAAAATGGGCATGCCATGTTCACTACAGTATACAAAACCCTAGTGAAAACTAAGCTTGAAAACTGCGTTTAGGCTGCAAGCCCCTGTTTCAAAGGTGACTCGGATATCCCGGATGAAGTGCAGAGGGTGCTACCCGTGCGATTCCGGAACTCCGGGGTTTACCATACAAGGAACGGCTTGAGAAGTTAGACCTCTTTACTCTGTTTTATTGCAGATTAAGAGGTGATCTGACTGTGATGTATAGAATACTAGATTGGGACATCTCAGAACACATAACAGGCAAGTAGGAAAGCCAAGAACGAACAAAGTGCCCGTAACATACAGGTTTTTATACTAAGTCATCAATTCTTGGAACCTGTTATCCGAAGCAATGGTGTTTGCACCTTAAATTGACTCATTCAAGAGAAGACTAGAAACTCACAGAAGTATACTAGGAAAGGAATAACATAGACTATAGGCCTTCTGTCGTTACTCAAATTTGAATTACAATGGTGTTAATTATACTGATAATAAGTGCTTTGATCCAAATACCTATTTTCATATACCTACAAGATCAGGTTTATTAAACTATCCTTTATTCAATGTTGTTTGATCACAGAATGTAGTGAATAGAAATATGGGATTAGAGAACACCTGACATCACATGAATTCTTAGAATGGCTTTCGGTGTATGGCACGAAGCTTACCCAAAGTCTGCTCGTTATTTGTAGCGTCGTCAGCACGATGACGTCTCTAGAATCAAAATGTTAGTTAGAAAAAAAGTTAGCGTACAAAATCCTCTATCACTTCTTTAATGGCTGAAACAGTAAGTATGATGCAGAGAGGTACAAGGGTGGTGAATCTTCCAGTAGGTGAAACACCAGGTATTTGCTAAACAAATAAGGGATGTAAGTGTATTAGGAAACTACCTGAAGAAGAGCGATAACTAGGAAAAATATGTTTGCATATCTTCGGAACTGTTCTGTCACGAATTTCGGGAGAAAAGTGATGAAGTTATATTTCGCAGTGCTGAAAAACAGCGATTTTAGGGAACTACTATATATCACCTTATATTATTCTTACAATAGTTAACCAACTGGGGTTTATTTACTTGAATAATGCGACAGCTTTCAGTTACTGAATGATTACGATCATTACTTCGACTTTTCATTTCAGTGTAATCCGGTTGGACTAAAGAATAAAAATAAATTTTTACTCGAACTTACCTTCCGTTACATTCCGCGGAACCATTCGCAATGTGACGTTATTCAAATGCCAGGAACTTCCGAGTGACCTTGAAATTGCAGGCGTCGTGCTTCAACATTCAGAGTTCGTTTGTGCTAGCTGAAACGCATGTGCGTTCTGGTGATGACCTATCAGTTTGAAAAGATTTACAAATTAACTCTGATATACTTGTTATTAAGTCCAGGCAAAACCATCGTGATGGTCGATGTATGTATTTCTGTGATTTTTTTCTTTCTAAAAACAAACCTAGTCACTGAAACAAATCACACTTCATTATCCTTACAACCTAATTTCTTACTACTAGCTGGCACTTTGAGTAGTGTGGGTTTACGCAAAATCCATACACAATATTTTGTTGTCTTAAATTTTCATTACCTACCATAAGCATGAATCTGTACGGCCAGCAAACTTCTTCGAGCCCTAGAAAGGGGTGATCTTATCCGCAACGCAACCATGTAAACTTAATGTATCGCTTAGTGTAATATCGGTCATTTGTGCGTTCAAGTAACCACAGATTTTGTTATTTCATAATGTATTTTCAATTAAATAACTAGATTATGCAGCTAATTTTGCTCATTTTTATATTTTTATTCGCCACGTTCGACTGCGTTACACTGCACGTCCATTGCATGCTGGGATGATATCTCAAGTCATAGTGAGTTTATTCACATAGTTGATTGTTTCCAGATAGACTGTCAGTGCATGATTTTACTGAAGAAAGGTTTGTTGTACTATAAACTATGTTTTCATGAACAACTGCCTGTTGTCTTCAGTCGGAAAGCAATATATATATTCTTTGTTTTCTGTTAGGTAAGTTCAATTGGCCTATATTTCGTGTTTTTGTTTTATCGTCTTAATTATGTCCATTTAACTACTTTAAGCAATATGCCTGTGCAAATGAAACAATAACTATGACACTTGCTTAGTTTAGTATTCTTGGTTGTCGTATTATTCAGTTTAGTTGAAAGAATTATGGTATACTTAAGTATAGTGCTTGAAGCCTGTAACGAAACAGATCAGTCTAGTAAGTAGAGTTGCCTGTTTCTGATGAGTATACTGACTCAAATCAGTCTGATTGAAAATTAGAAAAAAGTACTTTTGGTACTGTTGCTGTCATACATTATAAGATAGCGATAAGTATGTTTGGTGTTTATTTCTAGATTGTGCATCTATCACTGACCATAAATAAAAATAATATATTTGTAATATCCCAATGAGTAGAAAATTGGATTTTCTGACGTTTCGTGACTTAGTGTAAGTCACTTCTTCAGAGAACAAATAACCAAATTAAAATTCATCCAAGTTTAAATAGTACAACGGAACTTGTACTATTTAAACTTGGATGAATTTTAATTTGGTTATTTGTTCTCTGAAGAAGTGACTTACACTAAGTCACGAAACGTCAGAAAATCCAATTTTCTACTCATTGGGATATTACAAATATATTATTTTTATTTATAACAATGAACCCAATGCTCAATTTATTCGAAATTATCAAATCAAACCTTGGTAATGACACCTATATCACTGACCATATTTCATGATCTCTGTCATTAAACAATTTCCCCAGCAATAACATCGGTAGCAAGATAGCTAAGTGTGTGAGCTTTTAGTTGCCCGCAGAAGAGCAGTATAGTGTTAGAAGATGAGTGTTCTGTATCTCAATTAAATGCAGTTGGCTGTGGACAAATGTTAAGAATCTCTTTGACAACCAGGACTTTTAGTTCATCAAACACTAACTCTGCTTGTATGTCTCCCTGTTAAACTAGATGCAGATACATGGTAATACTTAAATGAGAGCAAAATAATAAAAGCATTGAGATACGGTATTAAGTCCATGTTATGCTTTGCACAAGTAATAGCTGACCTGACCTAATATTCATGAACTCAAGGTAAATCACAACTGCATAAATTCTTTGCTAAAACACATGTGATTTAGTTATTTATCTATTCCACATTTCTGATTAAATTCATTACTATTTTCTCATTTAGAATGCAACAGGACTGAGTCTTCACAGATCCTAAGAACTGTTTCGCCCTTAGAACTATGGCCCTATGGATCTGTTTACGGGAGACCCAACTAACAGCGGATTATAGGATGTCTATTTTAATCTCACAACCACTTCCAGTACTTTTTGACTTACTTCTTTTAGTCCTTCGTTTGGAAAAAAACAAAAACTGCAGCTTAACATTACCAATGCAACTTTTAGACGGGAACTTGGTTTAAACCTTTGTTTGATATTCGATTCTTAATGAAAGTTCTCGAATAAATTTTCGAACCTAATGCTTCTTTGTTTTATCTACTTAATCGTTGCAAGAAACTTGTGATAATCGAGCCTCTCATGTGTTCAGACTTCCGTGTTTGGTAGCAGGGGATTACCAAAACCTCTAAGCAGGAAACTAGGTATGGTAACAATGAAAGATCCAGTCGCCTCCTAAAGGACTCCTGGGAAGTCGCTTGGACTAGTTCGGCGGGCAGAGAATCCCAGTATTCGACAACTTTTAAGGAGTATAAGTTGCGTCTACAGTCCATTCTGCTATGTCATGTCTCTGGTTTCTGGGACTAAGCTCAAGTAGGTGTTTAAGAGAATGCCCAGAAGTGTTAAGGATACTGTAAGCCATTAGGTCACCTCTAAGACGTCTACACTTTAATGAGTAGAGGTTAAGTGATTGGAGGCGCTCTTCATAAGGTGATTTGGTGCATATCTTCGTCATTTCCTTGGGAAACCTACAGACTCGGGTCCTTTCACAACTTGTTCTAGCCACCACGAAAACTAATGGATGGACAGGCGTTACACATCCTAACCGTCCCTGCGTCTAATCTCATAGCTTCTTATTCAAGTGTCATACAGTCAGTCAGTCAGCTACAACGTAGGACCAGGCACATATGTGCATCGGTCCAGGTTGCCATACCGCATCAACACAACAAGATGAACACCAGATTCATAACAGTGGTTAGGTAAAAGGTGGTAATATATAAGAGAAAGATTGCATATAGAGATATAGTACAAGCAGAAAGAATTGGTTCGTAGAAAGAAAGATATGAAGCGATTTTAATCTCATAGTTTAAGGGAAGACAGGGAGTGTATACACCGACGCCATTGTGATCGATTTTGAGCCATGTCACCAAGAGTCTCCAACCATTGGTTACGATAGTCACGCGGACCCCAACCAAGTAGTCTGCATCTACCAACATGGCTCAGACTAGAAGTTAGTGACTTCAAGCACCGATGCCACGTTTTGGTTTGGCCGCCCCTAAATTTCTTCCAACCATTTCCAATACCGGATAGCATTACAAGTCGTGGTAATCGGTGTTCAGGCATACGTAACACGTGACCCAACCATCTCAGTCTATGAAGATTCATAACCTCATCAACTGATTTACCATCCTTTCCTAATACCCTGCGTCTAACCTCACTATTACTTACCCGGTTAACCCAGCAGACGCCAGCAATATTTCTAAGGCATCTGTGGTCAAATACTAATAGCTTACGAGTGTCTTCTACTCTTAATGGCCATGTTTCGCTACCGTAAAGTAATACAGAACGGACTGCCGCGCAGTATACTCGTCTTTTTATTGATAGACGGATATCTCGCCTTCGCCACAGGTGACGTAAGTTGGCAAAAGCCAAACGAGCTTTTCGAATCCGTGCTGAGATTTCGTCCGATACCAACCCATTAGGGCTGATCAGACTTCCAAGATAAGTGAAGTTGTCAACGCGTTCGACTACTTCACTCCCTATCCTTAGTTCAGGTGTTAACGCAGACCAGTCCTGAAGCAACAACTTGCATTTAGAGGGAGAGAAGCGCATTCCAAACATCCTGGCATTGTTGCTCAGTGCTACCAGAAGACTCTGCATTTTGTCAGCGTCTTCACCAAACAGGACTATGTCATCTGCGTATTCTAAGTCGATAAGTGGACCTCCTGGAAGGAGATCAATACCCGAGAACTCAGTCGACGACAAAGTTATTTCCATCAGTAGATCTATGATGAAGTTAAACAAAAATGGGGAAAGTGGACATCCTTGACGGACACCACTTGAGGTTGCAAAAGTAGATGACAGTTCGCCATAAGCTCTCACTCGACTAGTAGTGTTCGAGTAAAGAGCCTTTACAAGGTTTATATACTTCTGGGGTACGCCTTTCAATGACAGACACTGCCACAGAACCTCGCGGTCTACAGAGTCAAATGCTGCTTTTAAGTCAAGAAAGACCACCATTGTCGGACGTCGATAAGTATGTCTGTGTTCTAGAACCTGACGAATGGCGAATATGTGGTCGATGCAGCCACGACCAGGTCTGAAGCCAGCTTGATTTTCTCGTGTTTGCAGTTCACGAGTTTTAGTTAGGCGTTTGATTATTATTGAGGCTGGTATTTTAGATATTATATTAGTTAAACTAATCCCTTGTAGTGGCATTGGACCATAACCACACAATCCTCAAAGCTGAATACGAGATTACTCAGAAAATAGATATTCAATATTTAACGCGAAGAAATACCTAACGATGGAGAAGGCGCGACTAATGAATTGAATAGACTAGAGTTGATCGAACGGCATGGCTCGGCCATGCAGGCGTGGTCTCTGCTGAATGTTACCTTATATCTTCTTTTCATATTAAATATATTGTTCTTTCTCTAGCCTAACCTTGTTCTACATCATGTATTGGTAATTGATACGATACAGTGAGTTGGTGTAGTCGATGGTGTGACTTCCACGTAAGATCTTATAGATTAGGCAGTCATATCATGACAAATCTACAAATTTAGGATTAGGTCTATTATTAGAGCAGTACTAATATCATAGTAGACCATAAGTTCTACATTGGTAAGCCCAACTAAAGAAACGCGACCTATTAATGTTAATCCTTATTTCCACTTTAACTTTCTCGATCGATTTTATATTCAGTTAACCCAGTATTCTAATAGTCCCCTGAATAATACTCACTTGCATTATCGTAATGTTATATTGATTAGTTCTCATAACATACTGGCTCAAACGATAATAAAAACTGGTCGTCAATATCAACTAATTAGCTTTGATGGTTCGTTAACAAGCTTTAATAGCATTTACCTGCTTCAGCGACATAGACTTGTCTAAACATCAAGCTCTAGCAAATATGATCTGTAAGTAGCGTAATTATACATTGACTAACAATGCAATTAAGGATTGAATAGTTATCTGGATCTAATTCTTAGTGTTCCTTCGCTTAACACATCCTGTTTTAAACTATGCACTATCCTGTAAAATCTTTTCTTCCGACCACTGCCTGCCTAATTTCACATTCTCGAGTTCCATTGCCAA